TTGAACTGTTCCCGTCTTTATAGTAAAGAGGGGTGCATCTTCAAGAAAGATAAAACAAAGGGGACACTATTTCTTGTGAGATTTAAGTAATCCGCAAGGTTCGAATGTTATGCACTTCCCCCTCTCTCAAAGGAACTTCTCCTTGTCTTTCATTATTTGTTATTCTACTTTCACAAAAGTCTGCTACTGATCTAGGTGAAGGTGGTTCAGGTTGATTCACAGACCCATAAGATTTTGCCAACAAATTTTGATAGTGAGTAGCTCAGACATAAAAATAATTAAAACACAGTAAAACAAATATTTATACAAAAAGATAGGTCTTTTTAACTTTTACCTTAAAAACACTTTTTATTTCCCTGGCAACGGCACTAAAAACTTGGCTTGATTTGAAATGTGTACACCTAAGTGTAGGCAGTCAAGTTGTAGTAATAATCTGGTTAAGTCTGGAGTCGAATCCACTGAGAACTATGATTATTGTTTTGAAATAAGTAGTGATAGAGACCAAGTAACTAGAAACCTTGAGAGTTTGAAGTTATGAGATTTTCTAGACAAAATGTAAGATAAATTATCAAATGTAACAACCACCTTTTAGTTCAAGGATTAGAACATGTAGTTAATCATCCAGTTTATTAGACTTGTGCTTTATAATTCAATTAACTCCCGTGTCAACAACAAGTTAATTGGAAGATAAAGATGGACTGTGGGAATTAAGCACATGGTTCCGATGCCTTTCTAGAAGTTTATAAGAATTGCTGTGTCGAGACTCAACCCGTCTACAAACAAGCAAGTGTTTCCACAAGGCATCCAACCATGACATTAATGTTCCATTCTTTATATAAAGCACAATAATGGTGACGATTGAAATGTTGTTATGAAAATCTAGTTGGGGTACTTGCCTTGAACCAACGGGTCTTTCTATGCAAGAGTCATCTGTGACATAGAAAGAACCCACAATTATATAATATACCTTAACTTTGCTAGATACATTCAATTATTCAATAAGTAAGTGAAATATAAAGCGTTAAAGCATAAAGAAAATTCATAAATATAACTTTCGGATAATTTATCCATATTCATCACCTCTTACTAAAGAGTGAATGAGGAATTACTCACTCTTCATAGCTTGGGTAAAGCTAGAAAAGTGAGTAATACTGATCTCTCCAAGTAGAGGAGTTACAAAGTGAAAAACACTAAACAAGCAGCCGATCTTCAACGAAGAATAAGTGAATCACATTTCATCATTCACGACTTTGATAAAGCTCTAGAAAAGTGGAAGAGTTTCACTCCTCTAAGAAAGCAGGAAGCTCAAGCAATAGAAGTGCAAGAAATGAACCATGAAAGTAGAAGAAAGCTAGTCACTTTTGGAGGGTTACTTCCTCAGCCAAAAAATGGAGGGTTTCTTTGTCAACCAAAAGATGAACTATCTCCCTTGATACAAGCAAATATAGTTCTAAGACTAGCTATATGAGTGGGAGTCTAAGCCTCCATCAAGCTCTCTACAAGTCCCTTTGAAGCTCTCACAATAGGAGTATTTATAAACAAGGAGGAGGGAGCAAAGTAGTGTGGAGGAATAGTACAAGGCATTCAAAGTCCAAGCGAATGACCCAATGTCCGGAGAGAAAATCAACTACTCTGCAGCCTGTCTGTGGAAAACGTTTGAACGTGATCTGGCGTTTGAACGTTGTTTCTGTTTTTGCTTTGTCGGCGTTCGAATGTTTCTTCTGTCTTTCCTTTATGGGCGTTCGAATGCTAGATGAGGTCTGACCTTCTCACTCAAGTAGCCTATGGTCTTCTGTGAAAACCTATTTCCACACTCCATGCACATCTTGGCGTTTTGCACTCATCATCCTGGTCCTCAATCATTTCAAGTGGACGTTCGAATGTGAGTTGGCGTTCAAATGTGGTACTCAAGTACCTTAGGGTCTTCCTTCTTGGCTGCAACACACCATGTTTCAGTAGTCTGGTCTTCACATGATTTAATGTAACGTTTGAACGTTGATTGGAGTTCAAACGTTCTTGGCTTGGCCTAAGCTGTTCCAATTTTGCTGCAGAATAGGTTGGTGTTGCATGGGAGTCTGATATTCATTGTCTTTGGTCCCTTGTGCAATTTATGACCTGAAATTTCATCATTTAAGCTCTATCAAAGTATAATTAGTCCCAAAGGGGCATAGAAATATGCTAATTTTGACTACTAATTAGTGCACATGCACCCACACATATAACGTCTCTATCTTCATGTCTCCTACCCCTGTTTTTCATACTTACACAGACAACATGCACACACACACATCCAAGCTTCAACCACATAGCAAAAAAGCTTCGAGACACATTGAATTACACTTGAGGCACTTTAGGTGATGTCCACATACTGTTTTCTTTTCTATGTTTAGGACCCTTCTGTAGAGAACACACTTACTTTTAAATGGTACAATGCTCAAGAAGAGATTCACCAAGTTTTTGGTTTATTCCTCTAACTTTAGTGAAGCAAGATGATCTAGCTAACTGGGAACGTTAGTTGGTTGTGATTGTGAATTAAGATGTGGTGTTAGGTTTTTTGAGATTATCGTTTTCTTTGACTACTTGGGAATGTTGTGCTAAGAAAGTCACTTGGGATTGTGGAATGTGGTTTTTTATTATTATAACATTTTCATATATTAATTGAGATAGTTTTGAATCTATAGTTTACCTTTCATGTAAATTAGGTTGATAATAGTTATTATATGGGTTAAATAGATTAAATGTATATGCTTGGATTACTTGGGGGTTGCTCAATGGAGTTTGCACTTATTTGCACTAAGTTTTTCTTTTAATTTGACAACCAAATTTGATTATATCAATTCAGTTTGATTTTAGTTTGGAGTTATTTTTTTTTATTACTTTTATGTTTTGTAGATTAAATCAATTCAGTTTGATTTTTAATAATTTGGGATTGTTCAATTTTGTAGCCACATGAAATTGGATACCAAAAATTGTGCGAAGAGTAATGTTGGCTGCAAGAATTTACAATTCTTGCCCCCACTACATTTGTTGAAAGCCCTCTCACTTCTCTCAAGGTTATATGCTTCTCTCCGTTGGTTTATTTATAAATCACCTATTTTTTAGAAAAAAAAAAATTTATCCCTTTAAGATACTTGATTTTTTTGTTCATTTAGCTTTTGTTATTGGCATGTGGAAGAAATTAGCCATTTAAAACTAAGTTAACAAGTTCATTACTTGGATTATGACCAGGTGTGAACTACAATGATGACAAAGTTGTATTGCTGGAAAAAAATAACAATGATAGAGTTGTATTGTGTGGGCAGGTGTGTATGAAATAAATCTATTTTCCACTTTCTTTCTCTTGAGATGAGTATTTGTAGGTGAAAGTTACTTTTGAAATGGATTATCATTTTTGGTAATTGACAATTTTTTGTGTTTCACAGACGCACACACGAATAAACCAAAATCATATAGTCTATGTTGTTCAGCTGTAGGCATAAGGTGTTTGACAAAATGTCAATGAGAAATGTAAATTTTGGTTCAATTTTACTGCGAACCAAACTTTATTGTGAATTAGTTATCTCGAAACATCTCCATCATTATTATTTTGACTATTGTGAATTTTAGTAACAAGAAAAAATAGGGTATTTAAAAAAGTCTCTCTTTCTCTCTTCTCTTTTGCATGGTGACATTTAGGTGAGATTTTCACTAAAATAATTTTTTCGTTATTCAAAACTTTGTGATGGGTTTCCTTTTATGGAAGTTAAGACTAGATATTTGTTGTTTTGCTTCAATGAGTTGAAATTTTACTCATTTCTTTTTTCGGAGAACGTCTATAAAGAGAAGGCTGAGTGATTCAACACTTTTGTCCATGATACAATCTCGAAAAACACTATAAAGTTTTGTTTGTATGTGTGGGTATATGTATACATTGGTCTTTTGTGATTATTACTTTTCATGGTAAAATGGAGAAAAGTTTAGGATTTGCCACTCCTACTCTTCTTTTCTAGTTGCATCTACTTTGTCTTAGTTTGTTTATAATTTTATTTGTTCACTGTGATTTTTTTTATTAAAATGCTGAATCAGTGAGATGGATCTACTAGATCTCATGTTTTATTTTGTGGGTTTGGCTTAATTCTACTTCATCTTTGTCACACACTCACACACACAAATCACCGTACACATACACATGCGCAACATGCATGCATACATGCACAAACACACTCAGACACACAACACACCGTACACATACACAAGCAAAAAACGCAGCACACACACGCATGCATACATGCACAAACACGCAGAACACACACGTAGGCATATTTAAATTGAAATTGATTTTGGATATATTTAAAATTGGGTTGTAGTAACTTTGAGGAAAAATTGATAATTTGCTGAACTTTTGGTGTTAAATATGATATATTGAGTTAAATTTGATATTATGTTGATTTAATTGGTTGAATTTTCAATAGTTTTATATTAATTGGTGGAATGGATTTTTTTGGTGCTTGAAATTGAAATAGAGAGTTCATTGGAGTTGCTCGATGCTGGTAATGGGTTATGATGGTTTAGGTCCGGTTCTATTGACAAGTAATTGTGTTTATTCTATATTTTAAGGACGTTAAATGAAGATAAACAAGTCATCTCATACCTAAAAAAATGGATTGGGATTAAATGCCGCAGAAGGCATACTAGGAGTCCCAAACCCTAATGAAGATGTGCTCCATTGATCCTTGGTTGTAACATTGAAAATCTAAAAGGGTTACATTGAAAATCTAAAGTGTTATATTTTCGAAACACTAAAGGTTGCTCCACCACTGACCTGGATCGTGGAAACCAAGAGAAAGGGAAAAAAGTATTAGGTTTCATTTCCTCCATTTCATCTAAGTGAGATTCCAACGGTCTCATGATTTTAAAGCTATATATACAGCTAGTCTTTCCATGTACAATCATTCTTCAACCAAGTTTGCCTTCTTCTATGTACCACAAGCAATCTAATTTTTCCGAAAGAAAAAAAAGCCATGTATACGTTTAACAACTTCTCCAATGTTACCTTCAACACCAGTTCCTGCAAATATAACGTCAATTTTGCCAGAAAAACAAAAGAGACAACAGTCACTGACAAAGCCGCCATTACCACTGAATGGGTACGTGAGATATACTCCTTATATGCTGGAAAGCCCATGGTTGTGGGCTTGGACATTGAATGGAGACCTAACCTATTTCGTTCAATGACTAACAAAACAGCAACTCTTCAACTTTGCATCCAAGATAAGTGCTTAATCCTTCAGCTATTTTACATGGATGAAATCCCACAATCCCTTAAGAGCATTCTTGCAGACTCAAACTTCACTTTTGCTGGAGTTGAGGTTGCAAATGACATATCTAAGCTCAAGAACGAGTATGGGCTGGAGTGCTGCAATAGTGTAGACATTCGGGAGCTAGCGAAGAACCGGTGGCCCGGACGGTTTCGTCGGCCGGGCTGAAGGATCTTGCTTGGGAAGTGAGTGGTCTCAACATGAAGAAGCCTAAGCATGTTTGCATGAGTAACTGGGAGGCAAGGGTGCTTAGCCACAGCCAAGTTGAATATGCATGTGTTGATGCTTGTGCTTCTTTTATCACAAGCTGCTTATCGAAAACTAGCAATGCTCCAATTGTACGTGACAAATATTGTTAAAAAATTTGATAATAATTATATAAAAAATTCTAAATATATTTTTAATAAAATTAAGTATTACTTTATTTTCTACAACCTTATATTGAATTACATTGATGAAGTTACTTATTTATGTTATGTTTAAAAAATGACATTGTTTAAATTTAAAAGGAGAAAATATTAAAGGGTTGGACTTATTAATGATTGAGGGGATGTTGTTACCTTTACATATGATACTTTTGTTGTTCCACACTAGTATCTAGAGCATTGATATTCAATTGGGTACCTCTACCACAACACCAAAAAATATTCTTACTAAAGAGCACCACTCTCCAACATAAGAGATAAACCCCATTTTTGAGTGGGTAAAGATTTACCGTCAATATATTTGATTTGACCAAAACAAAGTCTCTCAAAAGAGTGTTCATAAAGATTTTTTGGTCAACGAATATCTAGTTTGTGCAATATTCAGCTATTAAACAAGAATTGCGTGATAACTAAACCTTCAAGTACCCATTAAAGTGCCTCAAGACAAGCCCCACCCTAAAAGAAATGCAAACTGAGAGCAAGTATGGATGGGAATTAAATTTGTTCCAGCAAGGCCGGATAGATTGCTTTAGACTTCCATATAAAAGAGATAACAACTTAGGTTTAATCTTAGGAAAGTACATAGCTCAAATCGATCCAAAGTATGAATTAGAAAGTAGAAACATTTCTAGGCACATCATTTGCAAGAAGAAAACTTAAACTTTCAGTTCTAGAATCTAAGCAAGTATGCAGAACAACAAATAAAAATATACCGTCACTTTTATTGCTACTTTCTCCGGTGACCTATTGTGCTTTACATGGCTTTCGTCACACAGTGGGAAAGTCCCCCATCTCCAAAACCTACACCAAAAGTTCACTGCAAAGGGTTAAAATCATCTTGTATGCCTAATGGATTGAAGTTATTATTTGTTGTATTCTTCCTCGGAAAAGTCATCAAGACATTACATCTCTAATCTTGAGCCGCCCAAAAAAAAAAAAACATAGTATGTGAGGTTTCATTCTTCAAAAAACTGTGGTGGTGATTGTTTATACTCATTAATAGAACTGAAGAGCCAAAAAAATAAAATGAAAAAGCATGTCAAATAGATGCAAACGGTAACTTATACATTGAAAGTAAATAGTATATTTATTTTTAGAATTCATAAGGTCTATTTTCACTTGAGTGAGTTATTAATCGGTAGCTATTGATTATGAACAAAATTTAAGAGAGTTAATAGACTCCAATGCGTCAGCTGAAGATAACCAAAAACGTTTTATCAACACGTTAAAAGAGAGAGTAAAAGAGTTAAATTGATAGGTTGCTGATACCAAGAGTCATTATAGTATAGATTTTAAATCTCTTATTAAAACTAAACATGTTAATTTTGGTATTAGTTGCATTATAAAGATTATTATAATCAACTAAAAGTTTTTCTCTATTGTTGACATTCTATAGTAGTATAGATTAAGAGATGTTTTTAAATACTTCAGCCATCGGATGTATTGAAGTGTTGGTTTATTCGTGTTCTATATGGTACCAAACAGGGCGGAGCAAAAAAATCGTGTCAGGGTGGGTACGAATATTTTAATAAACTAAATTTTTTTTCTTACAATCTATAAAAATAGGGTAATAATTTATATTTAATTACATCCTATTTAATACTTAAATATTCATTAAATTCAATAGACAAAAATTGGTAAGCTTAGTATATACAAACAACAACAATAAAAAAAGACTAATTATATCCTTTTACAAAACATAGATTAATTAAAATTATTTAAAATTAACTCTGGTAAATTTTCGTACTTTGAAATCATTACATAACAATTTTATTATTCTTTATATACACAATCATGTTATAATTCCGATATTTATCACTCATTTAATTATGCAATTCAATGCGCATTCTATAATATCTATCGTAATTAGCAAAACAAATATCAAAATCACTAGTAAACTACTCCTCCGTTCCTAAATATCTGTCATTTTATACAATTTTTTTTGTTCCATAATATTTGTTGTTTAATGAAATCAAAGCATAATTAATATTTTTTCTTCCAAATTTATCCTTAACTTTTCAATGTATTATATTAGGTGGAGACTAAGTGTCTTTCATATTCTTTTCCTTCCCAATATGTATTGAATAAGAGTATTTTAGTCTTGTGTAATTATTTTTACTCATATTAGAGTTGTTTAATAGTTTTCTTAATTCTTGTGCAAAAATCTTCAACGACAGATATTTAGGAATAGAGGGAGTAACTAATTTGCATATAATGTATTTCCTGGTCTTACAAAGTATAAAATGATTCTAGTCAGGAATGGAGCCAAGAATTAAATCAGGGTGGGCACTTTACCTATAAATTTTAATTGTTAAAAATAAAGAGCAATTGTAGGCTAATTGTTTAAACTTTGACCCTTAAATTAGATATACAAAACTAAGAAAAAATGTAAATATTTTAACCAAATTCAACGACGCGCGTCTAACATAATTTGACTTTCAACGTGTCTAAACTATATTTAAATGTGTTCAAAGTTTGTTCAGGCATGTTCAAGATCATTTAGATGTGGGATTATACATAAAAATGAAAGAGAAGGCACAATCAAATTTATCTTAGACAACATCCATTTGAGAAATATTTAACACATATATAACTTTTGACAAAATTTCAGGGTGACCAAGGACCCCTTAGAGCATCTCCAACCCACTCTTTACTTCTTATTTTTTAGCTGTTTTAATTAGCTAAACACAAAAAATTATCTCCAACCCACTCTCTATTTCCTAGTTAACCCAAATGGCTCACCAAATGTGGTGAGCTATTTGAGTTCTCTAAATTCTCTCTCTGTCTTTTTTTTTTCTCTATCTCTCTCTATGTATATGTTTTACTTCTTTTAAATTATTGGAAGTTAGTGAAAGTTGGGTGTAGTAGTTAGCTAAAATAGAGTGTGTGGTTGGAGTGAATTTATAAAATTGATTAGCTAAAGTAGTGAATGTAATATTTAAATATATATTTGACTAGCTATTTTAAAGAGGAGGATTGGAGATGCTCTTAGCCACCAATGTTCGTCCACTGGTGAGGTGAAGTCTTTTATCTATTTGAATTTTTTATTTTGATTTTAAACTCACTTGTGAGTTCGGGACGCATGTGAACAGAGATCTAAAGAGAATTCATATTTCCCATAAAAGATTACAACCACCCACAAAACAATTGGATGAAACTTTTTACCATTGGAATAATTAATTAGCACATAATGTAAAATTCGAACGAAATTTTAAAATTATAGAGAAATCTGTTGTCCCCTCAGCACCGTAGGTCTATCGTCACACATGTGATCAACTGCAAAAAGAAAAAATGTAACTGGACAATAAACTTTAAATATTAAGCTGCTTTTAGAAAAAGCATAGACGTCCTTTTATTCTTGTTTTACAATTCTTCAATGACAAGCAAATTGCGCACTTCTATTACGGAAAGAATATGAAGTATGGACCTTTTCCTGTAGTCTTTCAAAAGGTAGCTATAAAGGATGAACATCAAGATCAAGCTTTGAATTCTTGATGATTTGGGTCAATGATGTAATTTGGGCGGAATTAACCCAAATATAACCCCCAAACATTGTGTATTTAAACAAAAATTTTAACATGTGTTTTAGGCTAATAGAATCTCCAATCCTTACCATTTTTTAAACCCAAATTTAAATTTAGGTAAAAAACTCCTAAACACCTTGTCCAATACTCGACACATACCTATATTAAATCAAGGGATACTCATTTTTTTACTCAAATTCATAACTAAATCTTTAATGGTGAGATTTCACACTATTTTAAAGATCCAATAATCATATTTTATCATCTTTTAAATTTGAATTTATTCTCATTTAAATTTGAATTTTTTTTTTAAATTTGAGTTTTTCCATTGGAGATATCTATACCGAATCAAACGTTTTACCTTTTTTTTTTAACTCAAATTTGAGTAAGGATTTGAATTTCCATTGGAGATGGTGTTAGATAAAACAATCATAAACCTATTTTTGCTTGGATAATACTCGAGTAGGAATTTTGGATTCTTTGGACCCAATCCAAATTAATAGACTTGGGTTAAATTTGAGTTGAATCCCAGTTCAACTCAAATTCTATTGACATTTTAGCATGAATTATATAACCCAAAAATATAAAAGTGAATTGAATACGATTTTAACTCAAATTTTTAGCTCGAATTGTGTATATCAAGTTGTTTACACCCAAAAATAGTAAGATCAAAGGGTGACACGTAGAAGGGATTCGACGGTCATAAGAGAGTCCACAATTGAAAGGATAGTTAGAGGAATAGGACTATTGGAATCCCAAGAAACGAGAAAATGTGACATTATGAGCCACCAGTTAAAAACAATTTAGCACATATTCACGTATTTCAAAGGACAAGACCATGATCACAAGTTGTGGCCTGAAAAGATCGATCAACGATTTAGAATTATTTCTATAAATAGCAGAGGTTAGGCTACCAGGAAGCGATCCCACGATCAATTACAAATACTGTTCATAGAGCCAGCCTATCTTTTTTCTTGTTTCTTACTTCAAAGCAACCTTTACTTTCCTATAATACATCACTCCGGTGATCTTTTACTGCTTTCATTTATTGATAAGTCCAATTTTCAATTCGTCTTCTAGGTTCGAATTTAAATTACTTGCTATTTTTGCAGTCTTGCTATTTACTTTACAGTAGTGTTCACACATCACTATTTGGTAAAATTATTTAAAGTCCTTGAAGCTCCAAGACATAGAAAAGAATCTAAAGGTAATCTTATGC